GGTGGTGGGGCGAGAGGACTGGAGCAGAGCAGAAACCTCTTCCAATGTAGCGGGTGCGAATGAACATATAGAACAGCAGAGGGAGTGAAGTTAGGGGAAGTATTATAATGGGAAGAAGAAAGCTGAGAGATCTCCTCTCTGATTGTAGAGATCTTGTCAGTAAAGTGAGTTGCAAAGTCTGAGGCGGTCAAGTTATTAGGTGGAGGAGGAACAGCAGGGCCAAGAAGAGAGTTAAATGTGTGAAATAGTCGTTTGGGTTCGAGGGAGATGTTGCCAGAAGCTCAATGAAGCAGGGTGAAGGGTCAGAGTAGGACCTGTCTAGGGAAGTCTGCCTTGACGTTGGCAGGCAGGCATTCCCTCCAGTGGCCATTGGAGTAACTAAATTACCTCCATTTGTCGAAATATACATAGGGATTAAAGAGAGAGCGCAGGTAACTTATTTTTTTTTGTTTTTACATTACATAAGAAACCACCCTGATCTGACTCTGTAATGATTCGACGACAGATATTTAAATGTTATGTTTGTGGCCTAGTGCGATCCATGTACTGGAGAGGCCGACCATCTCCAGGCCAGGTGCTGCCCGAAATGTGGAGTTTCCTTTTTATATTTTGCCATTTTTCTCCTTGTCCTCACCAGGGAGACCTGTATACTAGTGTCAGTGTGTGTCTGTGAGTGAAGGTGTGTGTCGGTCAGTGCATTCATGTAAATGAATGTGTCTGTCAGTGTATGTCTGAAAGTGTGCGTCTGTCAGTGAATGTGTGTGTCAGTGAATGTGTCACTGTATGTGTATTCTGTCAGTGAGTGTGTCTTTCAGTTAAACTGAGTGTTGGTATTAAACAGGAAGAGGTGTGGCCTTGACAGGAAGGGGTAGAATAAATTTAGATTTGGGTACAGCACAGTATACTTGGGACCAGTGAGTTAAAGCCATGGAAGGAGTATCCACCTTGCACTGGAGATCTAGTATACTTCGTACCAGGCAGTGAGTGAAAGTCATGGAAGGAGTATCCACCTTGCACTGGAGATCTAGTATACTTCGTACCAGGCAGTGAGTGAAAGTCATGGAAGGAGTATCCACCTTGCACTGGAGATCTAGTATACTTCGTACAAGGTAGTGAGTGAAAGCCATGGGAGGGTATCCACCTTGCACAGGATATCTCTGCAACTTCTGTGTCATAAATCTGGAGGTCGGAAGGCCCCCATATCATCCTAGTGACAGAGTCTGATGAGGGCCTTTGTTCTGCTCCGCCTACAGAGGAAGCATTTTGACACTTGGCTGGAGGTTAAGGTCTCTTCTGAGCTAATGTTCTTGAAGCCGGTGAGCTTTTATCACCATACCTCTTTTTGCTGGAACTCCTACTTGTACCTGGACGGTGGGGCACTTGGCACCATATCACACACATTTTTAGTAATATTTTACAGTATTGGTGATTGTATTTTCCAAGCCTAAGAAATGGTTACACCTGAATTTTTCCTCTTGGTATACTTCAATATTAAGCTACTCAAACTTGTTTATTTCTTGTTTTTATTGCTTCCTTGGTGTTTTTCTCCTCACCTCAGCAATGCTGACTGCTAACTATTCCGTTGTTTTTCTTACATTTTAGTTTCTTTAACTTTAAAAAAGGAAATAAAAACTGGAAATGCAACACTACATCGCACTTATGGAAATTTGTTCTGCATTATTCCTCCTGTATGTCTCACATGTACTCGAAATATAACAATAAAATAAATCATGGGGCCTTGGGCATTGACGCAGATGGAGAAAAGTAACCTGACAGACAAAACAAAAATATAAAGCACACAAAATAGACAAATGGAATCACATGATACAGTACAGATGTCACACACTCTCATTAATACATTCAGGGCTTTTCACATAATTTTGAATTGTCAGGAATTAGCCATGTAATTGCACAGCTTAGACTAAAATATGAGCTGGAAACATGGAAGCTTTTCTCCAGTTTAGATATTTCAGTCTGCAATTTGCAATTCCTTGGTGTATTCCTAACAATTCAGTTATGATGTATGATAGACACACAATAGTACATTTATTTGACTGCTGTGAAGATTCTTCTCATTTGTCTGCTCTCGGCTCCCCTCCCAGTGGAGAGTACCAAGTTACAGCCTCACACGGAGCATTTCTCAATATGTCACAAATCTCTTACAGAGAGTTAAAAGCAGAGGAAGGTATTCGGGAGAGGTTGAAACAGTCTTAACATTTAACAGGGAAAGTGACAGAAGGTTATGTCCAAAGATCTTCTTAAAAGGAATTGTGGGCTCAAGTATGTGCTGTTCCTGATCGTCAGTCTCAAATTTTCATGAGTATTGGTATTTCTATACCACCAACTTATTCCACATCTCTTTTACAATATTATAAGGGGGCAGGACATTGCATCAAATGAGAAGCCATTACAATTTATACAGGAACAAAAGGTTGATGAAAACACAGCTCAAACAAGCTTACAATCTAGAGGAGTCATATAGAAACCAATAGGCAGGGCAGTATAGGGGAAATCAACAAAGTAACAGGATAAGATAGTGACAGGTGAGAGTTAAGTGAAGAATGCAGGTTTGGGATTGAGAGTTACCCCAGGAGGCCGCAGGATATTCTGAAAAGGTGAAACTTAAAGGAAGAGTAGGACATATTCTCATGGGAGGCAGTGTGTTCTATAGCAATGGAGCTGTTCATGTAAAGTCCTCTTAGTTTGAGTTAGCAGTACAGTTACAAGCAGCTGAAAGGAGAGTGGAGCGTACTTATGAATTAGTGAATAAATGTAGTGGAGGTAGAATTGTTGAGAGCTTTGTAAGTAAGAGTTAATATTTTGAACTGGATCCTATAAAGGCACAGAAAGTTAATGTAATGATTGACAGAGGATTGACATGTGAGAACACCTATAGGGGAGGGGAGGGGGACGACGACTTGCAGCAGCATTCATTACAGACTTTAAAAAGGCAGTATTGTTTCTAGAGAGACCAATTAGGAGAAAATTGCAGTAGTCAATTTGAAATTGTAAGAGCATTTACAAGCTACTAAGTATCATCTTGAGTAATAAAGGGGTGGATGTGGACAATGTTTTTTTTTTTTTTTGTGCTGAGATAAAACAAGCACATCAACAATGCCACAACAGCGGAAGACAACTTATCAAGTTGGGTAACAATATGGCATTGGTAACTAGCACAGAAATTCTTTATAAGACCTGATTATACATTGTTCAGAAGGTGTTATTGTACTGAATGATTGTGTAGTTAAAGCAAGTGGTGGTCAGAGAGTGTACATACAGTGTTGAGTTTGTTATTGAGGAGATATATAGTATATGTTCACTAACGTGTGCTATCCAGCAGAGGTTTACAACACTGTGTAGGGTGAGTTCAAAGCATGGTAGGGAATCATGGCTATCCTGTATCAGGTCGAGGTGTTTGTTCCTTTTTTTTAAATTCTTTATTTTTGTCATGCAGATACGTACATCAATGCCTCCAGTGCCACAATAATAAACCATTGTTATAGAATGAGTAAACTTGCCACTTTTTTTGTAATTTAGTGATTCAAGATGTAGCATAACATGAGAAACAACATTAAACAGTTTACGATCCAACACATGTTTGGGTAAAAGGTATGTGATCGTTGTGATGTTCGGATGTGTATTCACTCATGTAAAGAAACTATCTCTCAGAGCAGCGAAGCATGTGCGTTAGCTTGCAATGCGTGAATGTGGGGTATACAATGCGTAGGTGCGATTGATATTTACGCTATAAGTTGAGAGTGATGTCCCCCTTCAATCCCCTGATCAATACTATATGCATGTGAGTGTACAGCTTAAGCTTACAGCTTAATGCCGTGTCTCAGCTTTCAGGTGAGGTGGCCTTGGGCGATTTTTCTTAGGCGTTTCTGGGGCTCCGGGCACCGACCCCAGTCCGCTGCTGCTCTTTGTGAGGCTCCAGATGTGAGGCCCCCAGATGGCTCTTTGCTGGTGCCGGCTGCTTGCGTGCGTGTAGTTAGGTGGGGTTATTTCTTCCCTCTGCTTGTCTACTCATTGTTAGGTCATAGGGCATAGATTCAGGCACCGGGGGTCGTATGCGAGCCTCCAATTTCTTCCAGAAGGAGGTGAACATTTTGTTCAACCAGAGTTCCGTTTCCAGCCTTGCACTACCTGAGTCTGTGGTGCGAGAGGCATCCGCCATTTTGGGAGCTTTGTTGGTGGCAGGCTCGGTCTTCCATGTCACTGTCTTGTTCTCACTGCTTTGCAGGGGGATCGTGTGGGGGTGGACCGGGATGACCCCCACTGGTCCATGGGGGGGGGGAGGGAGCTCTGGGTCAGGTTTCTAGCCGCCCTTGGCAACGAGAGAGTGTCCGTCTCTCCCGCGCCCGCCATGATGGTAGGCCTCATCAGTATGTCAGGTGCGTACCGAGTCAATTGTTGCTTGTCTGGTATCTTCTTGTGTGTCCCGGTTTCCTCTGTCACTTGGTGGCCTTTGGTTGGCATTTTAGTGCCATTTCTGTAGCTTAATTCTCAGTTTTCAGTGCTGTTTAGCAGGAGCTGCTGAGGCTTGCTTCCTCTCAGTCCTGTGGTCAGGCCCCGCCCCCTAGGTGATTGTTACTTTAAGGGTGTCTGCGGGGTGATGCTGCAAAGGAGCTTTGCAGCTGTGGGTGCCCCTAACTAAAGGGGCTGCGGGGGGTAGGGGGTGAGGGAGACTAGAGGTATTACTCCTAGGGATTATGCCTGTTGTGGGTGTGAATTTCCTGGTTGCCACCTATGTGGCGGCCTGATTCTTCTATGTTTGGGGCAACCTCTTGTTATTCAGAAGCCCCGAAGGAGCTCTGAAGAGTGAGTGGAGATAAGGCATGAGCTAAACCGAGCCAAAGAAAATATTAATAAACTTAGAACAAAAGCAAAACAGAGCCATTGAGAGACATCATGGGAAGAGTTGGTGGTTGACTTGTAGCGCTATGAAGGTGTTTCTCTTCTCAGGTGGATCAAATAGTCTTATCTGCATCCAGGTGCTGTCAGGTGTCTAGTCGCTTGTCCACTCGAGCCCTTGGGACAAAGGGCGTGACTTTAGAAGGGTTCCACATCTTGCCAGGTGTAGTGGCTGCTGGGCCAGTCTGTGTATGCGTCAGTCCCAATGTTGATAGGAATTTAGGTGCATCTGCCAGTGATGTGAGTGATTGAGTGGTCCCATTGTGGGTCACATGGAGGGTTCTCCTCACAAAGTGTGGCAGTTCCTCTGTTGAGATAGACGCCAGCACTCCGCTGATTTTGATATTATGTCGCATGTACCGGTCCTCTTTGGCTGTCATTTGCTGAGACAGTGCTTGGTGCGATTGTGAGAGTTCCTGTATCATTGATTGTAAGTTAGATAGATTGACTTGTATGCAGTGGTGTATCTTGGTTTTGTGCTGCCCTAGGCAGGACAAAACTCAGGCAACTCCGCCTCTCGTACCACCTCCACCCAACCCTCCCTCACCCACCCTCTCCCCAAATACACACACACACACACAGCCTGTATCACCAAACACACACACACAGTCACCGTGACACACAGTCAGACACAAACACACACACACACAGTCAGACACACACACACACACACAGTCAGACACACACACATACACAGTCAGACACACACACCACCACTACTGAGTCACCAGACACACACACACACAGTCAGACACACACACACACACCTCCACAAACACAGTCAGACACACACACCTCACAAACACAAACACAGTCAGACACAAACACACACACACACATACACAGTCAGACACACACACACTCACAAACACAGTCAGACACACACACACTCACAAACACACAAACACAGTCAGACACAAACACACACACACAGAGTCAGACACAGTCAGACACAAACACACACACACACACACACAGTCAGACACAAACACAAACACACACACAGTCAGACACATACAGTCAGACACAAACACAGTCAGACACAAACACACACACAGTCACACACACACACACACATACACAGTCAGACACATACACAGACACAAACACAGTCAGACACACACACACACATTAACTTTTTTTTTTAATTTAAATCCCCCCCCCCCCAACCTCCTTACCTTTGGGAGTGCTGGGGGGGTCTCTCTCCCTGGTGGTCCGGTGGTCCAGTGGCTGCAGGTCGGGCGGGCGGCGCTGGCAGGCGGGCGGCTGGCGAGGGAGCACTTCCTATGAGCTGACTGCTCAGCTCCCTTGCGCGCCGGCTGCAGAGTGAGGCTGGGAGCCGGAAGATGACGTCATATTCCGGCTCCCAGCCTCACTCTGCGGCCCGCTCGGGATGTCAGTTAGCCGCGAGGCTAACAAGGCATCTGCCCTGGCTATTTGGGGGGCGGCGTTTTTTGCCGCCCCCTGAAAAATGCCGCCCAAGGCAAATGCCTTGTTTGCCTCGCGACTAATACGCCCCTGCTTGTATGTCAGAAATGTCTTCTTCATTAGTTCGCACTCTGTCGGTGGTATTTTGCATATCTGCGCAAAGGACCACTAGCTTGGCCACAAGTATCTTATGAAAGTCATGCAGTAAGAGTTTCAAGTCGTGTTTAGTCGCTGGGGTCGTGATCTCCGGTGTCTCTGTGGGAGTGAGAGCCCTGGAATGCAAGCCCACCAGCTTACCTTGTTGTTGGTGTTCAGTTGCGGCATCAGGTGTATCAGCTCGGGAAACCTCTGTTGGCGCCTGTCACGTATTCATCGGCACATAAAAATGTGGTTAATGGCATTTACTGTCCTGACAGGAAAAGTTGTGCCAAGCAACATTACTGTTCTGACAGGAAAAGTTGTGCTGAGCAACATTACTGTCCTGAGCAGCAATCATGCAAATGGAAACCTGGTAATTGCCTTTGGGGTCAAAGGCCGGTTACAGCCAATCAGATCCACAGGATCAGTGCCCTGTAGTGGTTTCATGCCCATGGTTATCTGAGAGTGTGTTTTTGATCCTGATTTTCTGGTATTTGGCTTTGTTTTGACTTCCCTGATATCTGGTATCCTTGACCTTTGGCTTTCCCTCATGTTTGTCTGATTCTGTGTCCCTGACCTCGGCAAGTATTTTGACTTTTCTTGGAGACTTTAAGTCCGGCCATTCTAAGGTCCGGTTTCACGTTATCCTTAGTCCTAGGTGTGACATAGTACTGCGTGCTGGATCAACTTGTAATACTGACATTACGACATGGCCATAGATCCTGCAGAATTGTGTCAGCACATAGCAGCTTGTGAGAGAAAGCTAGAGGAGAATGATCACCGTATGGATAAATTTGCCCAGGCTTTTAGCACGCTCCTTACTAGGACAGCTCATTTACAACCTGAGGCTTCTCCAATTATGTCACCACTGCCTAATGTACCTCCACCTTTAGTATATAAGGCACCTATGATCTCCTTATCTCCTCTGCCGCATTTTTATGGTAATATCCAGGAATGTAGGGGATTTCTCAATCAGATTGAGTACCACTTTGAGGCCTCATCTGGTTCATTTCCTTCAGATAGAGCTAAGATTGGGTATCTGATGAACCATCTTAAAGGTAAGGCCTTAACCTGGGCTAATCCATTGTGGGAAAGTAATAGGAGTATCGCTCATTGTTACCAGGAATTCCTGGCGGAATTCAAACTGATGTTTGAACCATTAGGCAGAGAGGAAGACACCTCCACTGCCCTAATGCACATCAAACAAGGGAACCAGTCTATCTCGGATTATGCCATAGAATTGCGTACCTTGGCATCTGAGGTAGACTGGACTAACAATGGATTAATCGCTGCTTTTAAAAAAGGATTATCTGAAGATATACTTGACGAAACTGCTGCTAAAGACCTTCCTAAGGGGTTAAATGACTTTATTACCCATTTGATGCAGATCGATAATAGACTCAGGACCAGGGAAATTACTAGAAACAGGACTAGACATTTGACTATGTCACTAGCATCTCGATTCTCCAAACCTGTTGCCCCTGACCTCTTGACGCTGTCTGAACCCGAACCAATGCAGTTAGGGTTTACAGGACTGTCTGAGGCAGAGAAACAGTATAGGAGAAGAGAGAGTCTGTGCTTATATTGTGGCAAGAAAGGTCAAATGACAGATGTTTGTCCTATACGTCGGGAAAACATCCGCACCTAAGAACCTTATGGGGACAGGTCTTAGGTGTAATGGATACGTCCTCTAGTAATTCCCAAAGCAGATTTCTCCTTGACATTTCTGCCTTTTGCAATGAGGAGAACTTTTCATGCAAAGCCCTGGTTGATTCAGGTGCGGCTGGTAACTTTATTGATTTGTATTTTGTGAAAAAACACACTATACCAGTCAGTTACCCATTTCTAAAAAAGTAGGCATTGTTGCTTTACCCGTTGCTACGTCTCCAACTCCCAAAATTCCCATACAATATTGGGAGGTTAGAGAGACGTTTAGTAAAAGCCAGGCTAATGCTCTTCCTCCACACAGATCTTATGATTCTACCATTGATCTGTTGCCCGGGGCTATGCCTCCTAAAGGAGCGGTGTATGCTCTATCCCCGCAAGAAAGTAAAATCATGGGTGAGTACATCAAGGAATCTTTAAGTAAAGGCCATATACGTAAATCATCCTCGCCTGCTGGTGCAGGGTTCTTTTTGTAGCTAAGAAAGATGGAGAATTACGACCTTGCATAGACTACACGGCATTAAACAAGATTACGATAAAAAATGCCTATCCCATTCCCCTTATATTCGAATTGTTTGATAGACAGGAGGCTAAGATCTTCACTAAGCTTGACCCTTAGTGAGTACAATTTAGTGAGAATTAGTGAGGATCATGAATGGAAGACGGCGTTTAACACTAGGAGTGGGCACTACGAATATCTTGTTATGCCCTTCGGGTTATGTAATGCTCCGGCCGTATTTTAAGACTTCATTAATGATGTACTCAGAGACTATATTTACTCTTTTGTGTTTGTATACCTGGATGATATCCTTATTTATTCCTCCGACATCCAAACTCATCATGTCAAACAAGTTTTACAAACTTTGCTTAAAAATGGTCTTTATTGTAAACTTGAGAAATGCGTATTTGATCAACATGAGGTTCAGTTTTTGAGGTATAACATTTCTGCCTCTGGTTTCCAAATGGATCTTCGCAAACTAGAGGCCGTTCTACAATGGCCATTACCCAGTGGGTTAAAAGCAATATAGAGGTTTATTGGTTTCTCTAACTATTACAGGAGATTCATCAAAATCTTCTCTTCGGTAAGAGCCCCTGTGGCGAAACCAACCTCGCCATGAAGCATTGGAGAAGCCTGGTTGCTCGCCGGTTGCCCTTGGACTATGGCCCCATGTTAAAAAGCCTTCTTTTCCCCTGCAGAAAAGGCTTGTTCGTGCCTTTCTGCCCGGCGTTCTGTAGATTCAATCTACCGAACAAACAACCGAATGACTGGACCACCTGTATTGGGAGTGTGTCGGCAATTTTCGTTTGCCGAACACGTGGCGGCGGCCATTTTAAAGCGGACACTTATTTGCGCGAACACCGCTGAGCCGCCAGCCTCCTTGCGTCTGCATTCGGTCATTTAACCGGATGCCTGTTCATTCGGTAGTTTAACCGTATGAACAGCATTGCCTCAGATAGCCATGCCATGGAGCCTATTCGTGTAACGAAAGACTGTGGGAAAGACTTTGGCTCCATGGCGATTGAACTGTATGTATGTGATCTGAGCGCCATCCGGTAATAATGTGCGCTCAGATCTAAGCTATCTGGGGATAGGTAGAATGTGTATGTTTTGTGCAACAGTTGTAACTTTATAAATTTTTATGTCTTTTACTGCCATGTGGTTAATGGAGTTTTGCCTCTGTCCTGGGAGATAATTGGATTACTTCCCAATTATCTCCAGGACAGAGGGAGGGAAATTAGGATGCATTGTGGGGATGTTTTACCTCTGTGTGTCTGTCATTGGTTCATGTTTCTCCTTTGTTACAGTTTCCCATTTGGTCCCCTAGGGGAGTGTCCACCAGCTGGGAGACCTGCATAAATACTGGGCAGGTAGCCCTCAATAAATCAGACGACTGCTTGACCCCCAACACGGAGCTCTGTCTCGTCTTTGGGGGGATTTACTGTATGCTGTTAGAGACTGATTGCCAGGAGTGTAAGCCACTTGGGTGCTTTTCCTGTTCGTCTGCTAGCAGCTGTTCGTGAGGTTCCAGTTCGGGAGTTTGGAGTGCTACTTTGTATGCAGTTCGGGAGTTTGGAGCATTCCCTTGAATGCAGTTCGGGAGTTTGGAGCATTCCATTGTATCCAGTTCGGGAGTTTGGTGTTCTGCAGTAGCTGTGCCTGTATCTCTGGAAGGGGAAGATCGACTAAATGGCG